TGCTGCTGCTGGTGGCATCTTGCTGCTGCTGCGTTTCCTCAGCAGGAGGATTATCCTGAGTTGCTGCTGCTGGGTCTGCTGCTGCTGCTGCTGCTGCTGCTGTTGCTGCTGCTGCTGCTGCAGGATCGCTTGATTTGGATTTGCCGCCAATTGTACTAGCGCCGCCACCAGCAGCAGCATCACCACCCCCAGCAGCAGCAGCAGCAGCAGCAGCAGCAGCAGCAGCAGCGGGAGCAGCAGCAGCAGCAGCAGCAGGAGTTTGTTTGAGTCTACCTAGAAAGAAGAAGAGGCGCTGCTGCTGCTGCTGGCTGTTTCTCGTTTCTTCTTTGCCCAGCAGCAAATGCTCACCCGTCATATCCGCACACTCCCACAGATGCTGCTCTATATACATACCTAAACACCAGCAGCAGCAGCAGCAGCAGCAGCAGCAGCAGCAGCAGTAGTAGTAGTAGTAGTAGTAGTAGTAGTACCAGAAGAAATATGAGTAGCGGTAGCAGCAGCAGCAGGAAGAGCAGCGACAGCAGCAGAACCAGCAGCAACAGCAGACGCTGGGGTGCAACGCAGCAGCAACAACAACAGCAGCAGCAACAGCAGCAGCAGCAGCAGCAGCAGCAATACCTGCTCTAGCTTTTGGGTTAGAGAGAATAAACTGCTGCGCATGATGCAGCGAAGGAGAAGCAAAGACAGCATAGTCACCAATGTACGGAGACATCCACGCACTTTCTCCTGCTGCTGCTGCTGCTGCTGCTGCTGCTGCTGCTGCTGTATCTGCTGCTGCTGTATCTGCTGCTGCTGCTGCTGCTGCTGTTCTCTGGTTCTTTGGCGGCAGCATATGCAGTGCAGCAGGACCCGGGACAACCCCACTCACCCCCCTTCCACCACCAGCAGCAGCAGCAGCAGGAGCAGCAGCAGCAGCAGCAGCAGCAGGAGGAGGGTTTGCTGCTTGTAGCTCTGTGTATATGCTGCGCAGCTGCAGCAGCGACAGCAGGCGGCCCCCCACGTCCTGCAGCTGGGCTGAGGCGCGGCCCCACAATATGTGGCTGAGGTGCAGCCGGCTGTGGCCCAGTGTATCCCATAGACACAGAGAAACTCCA